ATCCCTTCCTGCAGGGCATCAGTACCCACCCCCCAGCCATCAGCATCATGGGGACCACCACAAAAAAGGGGGGCTGGTTGTGTCCTGATTCTCCTTCACAGTACCCTCCCCGCAAGAGACCTCCACCATGGGGACCACCACAAAAAAGGGGAACCACCACCAAAAAGGGAGGACCACCACCAAAAAGGGGGACCCCCTCCCACCTGGTGGGGCTGGTTGTGTCCGGGGGTGGGGGGGTGCTGGTTGTGTCCTGATTCTCCTTCATCCCTTCATCCCTTCCTGCAGGGCATCAGTACCCACCCCCCAGCCATCAGCATCATGGGGACCACCACAAAAAAGGGGGGCTGGTTGTGTCCTGATTCTCCTTCATCCCCTCCTGCAGGGCATCAGTACTCCCCCTCCAAGATATCTGCACCACGGAGACCACCACAAAAAAGGGGAACCACCTCAAAAAAGGGAGGACCACCACAAAAAAGGGGGACCCCCTCCCACCTGGTGGGGCTGGTTGTGTCCGGGGGTGGGGGGGTGCTGGTTGTGTCCTGATTCTCCTTCATCCCTTCCTACAGGGCATCAATATCCCCCCCAAGACACCTGCACCATGGGGACCACCACAAATAAGAGGGATACCCCCACCTGGTGAGGCTGGTTGTGTCCTGGGGGGGCTGGTTGTGTCCTGATTCTCCTTCATCCCTTCCTGCAGGGCATCAGTACCCCCCCCCCATGCCCCCCAAGCCATCTGCACCCCGGGGACCACCACCAAAAAAGGGACCCCTTCCCCAAGGGACACCCCCCCCCCTTACCTGGAGGGGCTGGTTGTGTCCTGATTCTCCTCTATCCCTTCCTGCAGGGCATCAGTACACCCCCCCAAGACACCTGCACCATGGGGACCATCACAAAAAAAGGGACCCCCCCCCATCTTGTGGGGCTGGTGGTGTCCTGATTGTCCTTTATCCCTTCCTGCAGGGCACCAGTTCCTCCCCCCCCAGCCATCAGCACCATGGGGACCACCACAAAAAAAGGGACACCCCCCCCCCTTACCTGGAGGGGCTGGTTGTGTCCTGATTCTCCTCTATCCCTTCCTGCAGGGCATCAGTACACCCCCCCAAGACACCTGCACCATGGGGACCATCACAAAAACGGGGGACCACCACAAAAAAGAGGGCACCCTCCCACCTGGTGGGGCTGGTTGTGTCCTGATTCTCCTCTATCCCTTCCTGCAGGGCATCAGTACCCTCCCCAAGATACCTGCACCATGGGGACCACCACAAAAAAAGAGGGACCACCAGGAACACCTGAGGGTTTCATCCAGCCTGGCTGCCCCAGAAGGATCTTCAAAGCTTCAGGGCTGGTGCCACCCAGCCCCAGGCCTTGAAGAAGACCTTTAGCAAGTGGTTTGGCCTGAAGAGATCCATAAAACATTGACATTCCGGAAACATTCTCCTCGGCCCCCCACTTTCCCTCCCCCCTTTCCAACAAGCAGTCCCATACATGGAAAAGGCCAGGCCAGCAAGATGTCCCACTGGTTCCAGCAAAACATCCTGGGGGCTGGTAAAGCCACCTGGAGCTCCAAGGCATTTTAACCCCTGGGGTGCTGGGTGCCGTAGGGGGAGCTGAACATCCCCGGGAGAAGCTGTGCCTCATCCCTGATGGCTCTTCCTCACCCTGGCAGGACTTGGTGTGTTCATCACACACCAAGGCAGTCACCAAGGAGTCACACCAGGCAGCCTCCTTGACTGGTGGCAGCAGCTCCCAGGCCCTGAGGTCCTTTGGGGTCACCGAGGCATCAACCCACCGCCGTCCCAGCAACAAGGCTGCAAGACCAGGTTTATTGTCCACAGAGAGGAGATAGAAAGGAAGCTTACAAAATAAATAAATAAATATCTATATATACGCCTATATACAGTCCACATCGCCCCCCACCCCAGGACAGACCTCACAGCGCACATGCAAAAGCACTTTGAAGCACAAATTAATGACTTATCTCAAACCACTCTTCAGGGAAGGCTCAGGTAGCTCCAGGAAGGTCACTCCCAAATCTCCACCTCTGCCCCTTCCCCAATCAATGGCAGCATCGTGCCACGCTGGACCCCCCAAGCCCAACCCACTGGTGGCATCCCAACCTGGTCCAGCCAGCCCTCCTGCCCCACTCTGGTTGCCCACCCCACCCCACTCCATGATGACTGTCCTTAGCCACAGTGTCTCCAAGCTCTTCTCAGTCCTGCCCACTCAGTCTGAGATGACCAACCATGCAGGACATTTTGTGAGGGCAGCAGGACATCGTTCTCTGCCCTTGGTGGTACTTTGGCCAAGGAATCTAGAAGCAAACTGGCACGTACTGGGGTGCCAACTGGTTCCCATCCCATAACATCATAGGGGAAGGATGGGCAAGGTGGGTAAAGACAAGGACAGGCAATGGAGCTCAGCCTCAGTTTCCCTGCTCAGGTCTTCACCCAGCTCCTGCAGCCTCCATGGGGAAGGAGGTCCAGCAGTGCAAGGCCCCCACCACGCAGCACCCCTATAAGTTGTGTGTCCCCCCCTCCCCGTCCTTTGCACACCTACAAAGACACATGCACACAGACAGGCCCCCCACACGCATGCTCTATCTCTGCTGCTTCATCGCCTTGACGAGCTCCTCAAGCTTCAGGGCGAGGTGCAGGTCACCCTTCACCTGCAGCTTCCCACTCATGTAGGCACTCAAGGGGCGCAGGTCGCCCAAGAAGAGGTCCTGCAGGTCTTTCTCCGCCACCTCCAGAACGACGTCGGGGCTGCCCTCGGGCACACCTCGGCCAGCCCGTCCGCTGCCTGTAGGACACGATGGGTGGGAGAGGGAGAAACATATGGCTTCAGGATCCAGCCTTGGCTGCTGGCGTTTCCCCCCACTGTTCCGTAAGGATTGAGTTGGGCCAGATGACAGACAAGGGCCTGGCAGGGGGAATTTGGAGGCTGGAGTGCCCCTACTCCTTATGGAGACAAATTTCTCTTCTGTTGCTCCACCGATGTCCTGTTAGGGTGGTCCACCTCCAAGCCCTGTAAGAACTTTTGCCACGATGCGCTGGTTTTGGCTGGGATAGAGTTAATTTCTTCCATAGCCACTAGTATGGGGCTACCACTCCAAACATCTCCCCCTTCCTTATTCTTCCCCCTTTCTAAGACGTCATATGGCACGGGATGTTCCTTGAGCAATTGGGGTCAGCTGTCCTGGCTGTGTGCCCCCTCCCAACTTCTTCACCTACTCACTGGTGCGTGGTGTGAGGAGCAGAAAATTGACTCAGCAATAAGGAAAATGTTCCTGTGTTGTCAACCCTGTTCCCAGCACAAATCCAAAACATGGTCCCGTGCCAGCTACTGTGAAGAAAATTAACTCTATCCCAGCCCAAATGAGCGCATGTGGCCACCAGGAAAACCATCAGCACCCGGAGGGGAATGGAATGGGGTGGTGGGAGGACATCTTTCAGCGTGGCAAGGCCCGAAGGGCTGCCCGTGCATGTCCCTCCATCATTACCCCCTTGGGCTGGTGGCACAGAAGAGACAACAAACTCTGAGGTCCCTGAGCCACCCCACTTGGCCAACCATGAGGAGGCCTGGTTGCCAATTTTCTACCAACGCTCTCTTTCTGAAGGAAAACTCATGGTTTTGGCCCCAAACAAATTCTACTTCAGACTTCCAGGGAGCGTGGACTCAAGGCCATGGTCACCAAACTGCAGTGCTCAGCTGATGGACCCTGGGGATGCTTTCATGGAGCTACCAAACAGGGTTGGTTTGGGACCACCTACCACCAAGCTCGGTGGGTTTTGAAGCACGCAAAGGGGTCACGGGCATGAAACACCCTCCCACCTCCAACACAACAACCCCAAAGAGCAGTGACCTGAGGAGAGGTCTATGAAGTAGGTGCTCCAGGCGCCGCTGGGCAGGACGATGTTGACCTGGTAGGATGCTCCCACCTGGGTGACCAGGGCCTCGGAGAGGACGGGTTCTACTGCTGCAAACAGTTCATCTGCACTGGGCTTTCTCCAGGTGCTGCCAGCGGTGGGAAGGAGGGGAGCGGTGGGAGGCTCCACCTCATTCACCATCTCCACGCTGTCTGCTGGGGACAAAGGACAGAAGCGTGGTGAGGGGACACCTTTGAGCGGTGAACTTTGCTTGTCTGCATGAGCCCACCAGAGAAGGTCTGTGGTGCAGAGAAACCCACTTATCCAGAGAGTTTCCAGTTAAGCAAAAAGAAGACAACATGGTTTTGCCAGTTCCTACTGCCTGCTCCTCTGTCTGCCATGGGTTACTCTTGCCCTGCTTCCAGGGGGTGGAAAATTATCGCTGAAAGAAACAGTGGGACACAAATTGGTCCAAGGTTTCCAGAAAAAAAAGATACCCTCAGATGGTGACTCTCAGCCAGCTCAGGCCTTTCCCTATGTTTGTCTGATGGGAATGCTGAGGTCTGAGCTGGTCTTCAGCCCGAGGTTCCTCAGATCTGCTCCTGCCCTCCCCGGTCCCACCTCCAATGTCACGTTAGAAAGGTTGATGGTCCTCTCTCCTTTCCCCTACCAGCTCTGTTTGTGCTGTGCTCATGGGAGCGTGATATCTCCCAGACTTTGACTCCTCTGTCAAAAAGCCAACGGACACAAAGGTCATTGGGCAGGAGGGACATTGAGAAGCGATGGCCCCGGGTTGGTTACCTGCCTCTGGAGCGCCGGTCTTGCTGCCCGCCAGAGCCAGGGTGTTGCTGAAGAAGTGGGCAGCCAGCTGTTGAATGGTGCCATCCAGCCCCTCCAGCCCAGCCATGGGTGGCACGGTGGCCAGAGGACCCACCGGGCTCTCCCGGGGTGGCTGCAGCACAGCTTCCATGCTCAGCTCCACCCTGTCCACCTCCAGGCCCCAGGACTTGGTCATGTCGTTAATCTCCAGCTGCAGAGCCAGGAAAAAATAGAGAGGTGGTGGCATCCCAGACAGAGCTGGGTACGGCCATGGAGATCACCCACCACAGCCCTCCCATCCATGGGCATCCCATAGCTTATATTTCTTCTACCCAGCAGCTTTAGATGTGGGGGGTTGGAGCAGCCACGTCCTCCAAACTGTCCACTCTCATGCTCAACCCAGTTCCCCCAGTTGCTCTCCTGGCTTGGAGGAGATCGGGACAGGGAGGACAGCTCTGCCTTGTTCTCCTTTCCACAGCCCTCCAGGCTGGCCCCTTTCCTTGCTCTCCCCTGGGAACCATGTCGTGGCATGGTGCTCCACCAGACAGCATTTCTGGCCTCCAAACCACCCCAGAGATACCAGTATATCACCCCCCCAGTATCCTTTCAAGTCGCCCCTTGTAGACATTCAACCCACAAGCTTTGGCCTGGCCCAGGTTGACTGTAGGCACTAATCGTTGCCCTTTTGCCACCACCCTGTCCTGCTTCTCTACCCCAAAACCCTTTCCAGGTTGGAGCCCCCTCTAGACATTATCCTGGTGGAGATATGGAGGTCAAATTTAAGTCTGCTGACAATGCATGGGCTTTTCTGTGTGGCCAAAGCCCTTCAAGAAAGCCACAGAGCTCCAGACACCCACAGGCTGAAAGGTATCTACTCCCCACTAATCACCATGTCTTCTCAGCTCCCCTCCTTGGCCAGGTCCATGGCCAGATGGACTTTCAGCAGCTCCAGCTTTCCCTGACTGTTATTTCTACACCAAGAGCATGAGGGTCTGGGGGCAAGGGGGCCTCTGTGTAGGGCTGAGGTAGTCCTCACCAGCATCTGCTCCCCGATCCTCAGCTTCTCCACCTGGATCTCACGGAGGCTCTTCTTCCCCAAGGTCTTGGTCATGGCGTTCTGCGCCGTCATCCGGGTGGCCGCGATGAGGTCCTTCACCATCATGACGGACAACACGGGATCCCACACCCGGAATTGGACATCAGCACCCATGGAGATGACCGCCCCGTCCTTGGAGGTCAGCTGGGGCAGAGAGGAGTGAAGATATCTCCCCCTGTCTGCTCCATGGCCCAACCCTCCTGCATAGAGCCTGGGAGCAGAGGCATTCATATCTCTTCCCAGCTGGCAAAC